GGGTTCTGCTATAACGTGCTTTGATAACGCGGAAGATTTGCTCTATGCGATTTATAGTTAAGACAATATTTATGCTCTTGTGGTAACTTGTTTTTCTTTCTCTTAGCGATTTTGCTTACTATTTCTCTGATTTTGTGGTATTAACTGAAAATGGTAAGAAGAATATCTCAAGAAGCGTTCTGGTGATAAATTCGGTGATGATCGTAAAGAGAGGGATACCACCAACCTTACTTTGAAGAAGCCGATTTATCAGCTCAAAAGTACCCTTCTCCCCATCAGAAGTTAAATTCATATTTTTTTCAGGTAAAGTGTTACATTTTACTGTATGATTTAATATTAGATATGAATGTAACATTTATTTAGACTGTGCTTTATCCTTTGTGTTAGGCTAACTACTAGATTACCGATTTAAGAGTAATCTGCACCTAACCCTATTTTCTCCATAAGCCCTGTTATTTCTATTACAAATCGAGATCAGTACGTCTGAGTGCATGTGTACTAGAGGACGTCTGGGTGCATGTGTACCCAAGTTCTCTTGGGTGCATATGTACTAGAGGACGTCCCGGTAAATGTGTACTAAAGGACGTCTGGGTGCATGTGTACTAGAGGACATCTGAGTGCATGTGTACCAGTGGTCTTTCGAGTGCACATGCGCCTAAGGACACATTGAGGTAGGTAAAGGTTTTGATGAATATCAATACAGAATACGTGAGACAGGTGCACCAGAGGACGTCCCAGTGCATGTGTACTAGAGGACGTCTGGGTGTATGTGTATGAAAGGACGTCTGGGTGCATGTGTACTAGAGGACGTTTGGGTGCATGTGTACCCAAGTTCTTTTGGTCTTTCTAGTGCACATGCACCAAAGGACATATTGAGGTAGGTCAAGGTTTTGATGAATATCAAGACAGAATACGTGAGCCAGGTGCACCAAGGGCTGTTAGGATCATCCTTACATTCAATGTTTTCAATCATCTGAGTGGGAGTCCACAGCAAATGGTTCCACCAGTAGTAGACAAAGTCATTTTGTCACCTTCATTGATAAGGTATTTTCCAATTCAAGATAAATCCCTAACAGAGAAACACATGTTCAGATATCAAAATGTTGTGAAAGGCAAACGTGTGGCAAGAATAGTAGAGAAAACATGGTGAAAATTTTAGGGTTCAGTGTTCTAAACTTTTGAAAGGTCTTTCAACCAAAATGGGGTAACATAGAAAGGTATCAGAAACAGTTCTGAAAGGCAAATTCTTGACAAGATTTATACAAAAAGTGATTAGGGATAAGACTACTGCTAAGTGCTTAGAGGGAAAACATAATCAAAAGACATAATTCAACTATAATTCATTTGCAGGTTTGCTGCTGGTACTCAATTACCCTCACACTTCTGGACCTCTCAGATCTGGATTTCTGTTGGTTCGGACGACGTCTGGATGTGGTAAATTCCTGTCTGGTCTCTCTCCCTCAGTCTGGATGCCATGTTTACTTCCCTGCTGCTAAAAACTGACACAACATTTTGCTACCCGTCGATTGTGCCCTTTTGTTGTTTCTCATGAGCAGGTATTTTGTGCTTTGTGACTTTTTGCACCAGATTTGTTGTGCTCTGTGCCTGTTGTGTGGTGATGGCACCCAATAGGAAGTGCACGTAGCTAACTGTAGCTCAGAAACTGGATTGTTATAGATGTTAGAGAGTGGTTGGTCTGTAGCAAGATGCTGTATTGAATATGGCATGGCTTAGCAACCATTGTCTGATATACAAAAGGCTAAGAATTCCATGCAGTCAATTGTAATGAAATATAGACTACAAGCTGTATTATAATGGAAAGGAGGCAAGTTAAAATAATACTGTATTGACATACAGTAATAACAATACTGTCTGTAGATTAATACCTGTACACTAATACTGTATAATTATTATTACCAGCGTAACCCCGCTTTACGCGGTCAATTGAACCCACGGAGGCCCGCGTAAAGCAGGAAACGCGTAAACTGAACAACAGAACATATGGGATTAATTGAAATAGAGATTGGGCCGACCCCCAAACTCCACTTTTTCAGACAATACCTACGTTGTAGTAAAAATAACATCTAAACTTTATGATGGTATGCACACACAATTAATAATTATAAGAAATATCAATAATATTAGGTTTTTTAACGCTTACATTAGTAGAAAAGATGGCTGGGCACACGGGGATGGAGGGTTGGTTCCGAGGCAGAGGGCAGATTATTGGCCCTCACCTGTATCACTTGTATCAATTGTATCACTATCAACCACAGAGGCTTGCAGGGCCTCTTTGTCAAACCCCTCAAATTCCATATAAGTCCATTTCCTCACTATCACTGACTTGGGCCAGCTGTGGTGGGTGGCGGGTGAAGAACTCGGTAATGTTTTGACGACTGGGCGACCTTGTGCGCACCCTGCCTGCGCCGCTTCCCGCGTATAGGAGTAGATGCACCGCGTAAAGTGGGAATTCCGGTTCTGGCGGGGTTCCGCGTAAATGTAGAAACACGTAAAACTGAAACGCGTAAAGCGGGGTATTACTGTATTGTTGTTATTACTGTATTATCATTACTGTATTATTATTTAATACCATTATTACTACAAGTACAGTATTATTATTAATACCATATTGTTATTGTTGTTATCCACATCAATAAAGTCCACATTATTGTATGTAGGTGGGAAGGGATTCAAGTTACAATGATAAAATAAGTAGGGTCTAAGAGTATAATATAATAGCATGAAACTGTACAATTTTGTTTGAGCTTAGGGAATAAATTAGAAAATAATATATTATAATTCTCATTTATTTGTGCAAACTCCTTCACACTTCTTTCAGATTTTGGGTGTTATTCTGAGAGAGTGGAGAAGCTTTTGCATTACAGGTTTTCATCATTAAACAAAACCTGGAGATAATACACCAAACAAATAATACAATTTTCTGTTACATATATCATTTAATTAAGAGTTATAAAATGTCCCATCCAGATTACCAACAAACATCAAGCATATGGCTGGAGTTTCATATGATCGATTTTAAGTAGAGTACATATAAACACACATTACTGAAGTGTGTGAAACCATCAGCTCAAAGCTGGTGAATTATTGATGTTCTTGCAAAAATTCCCACTAGTAGTTTGGTCAATCCTTGAGGTTAAAATAAATTCATACACACAGCAAATGCAACATTTTGAAATAGACAAGGAATACAAAGTGAAAATTAAGTAATGACAAGAAATTCACCCTGGCATATATTTACATGAGAAATACTCAAGGTGATTCACACCTTTAAAGGATGTCACACAGAAATATTAAATATTATAAAAGGACACTGAAGGAAGGAACAACTTCGTTTACATTTAATAATATATAGACCTATATTTCAAGTCATGAAAGTGTAATAAAATAATATATATATATATATATATATATATATATATATATATATATATATATATATATATATATATATATATATATATATATATATATATATATATATATATATATATATATATATATATATACAGAACACTCTATCATGTCAAATGATGAACTCGTTAAAATCTTGTATGACTAATGAAGGAACTTCAGACTAAAATGCAAACTAAATACATTACCTTTAAAGAAGTATCTAACCCCTAAAAGGCCCATTAAATTATGGTACATTGTGTTTAATTTGTCATATACAATAAATAACACATTTAGTAATAAGATCTAAGCTAGAAAAAACAACCGGATAGATATGACTGAAGGTATATTGTATACATAATCAATTAGCTACATCATTCTTAAATGTAGAGGAGTAACATTCCAACTAAACATAACCTTTGGCTAGAAACTAAATCAAACTGCATATTCCTAGCTTAATAATTCTAATATTCATTTAAAGATTTCTGTACAGGAAATTTACATTTGTCTTCCAAGATGAAATCAATTATACATCAAACTTAATTCAGATTACAGTATTGACCAAGCTCTATTCTACAAAATATAGAGAAAAAAATCTGACTACTTATATTTTTGTATGGAGGAAGACAAAAAGATAATAATATATAGAAAGAATTTACAAGATCTGATACACGCACACATCCTGAGGCATCTTGATAAAAGGGCAGAATATGATAGGAGTGACTTTTTGTTCTATTTGTGGAGACCTCTGGTTAGTTGATGGAACAGTTTTCTAAAAATCTGTATTGTTGCATTGGAGCAAATTCTGTACATACCTACATAATTTTCAGTGTATCATGTAGGATTAAAACTGTTAAAATGCAATACCATTTCCCAGAGGATAAAAAAGCAATACACGCAGGCACTTTATTTTTCAATCTTAATGAACAATTAAATGTTTTAAGTGCAATGCTTCTGAAAACATGAAATACACCATATTGCAAGGAATCTATTCTTAAATTGGTAATCATTTGCAAAAAAACATCACATTCCTGCCATTCTGTTTACCAAATGTACATATCCTTTCATCAACACTGAGGTATTACCCTAAAACTGTACAATTTCAAGTATCAGTCACATTTTCATTACTGTACACATGACCAGCATACCACAATAGCCAGATTTCACCATGGACCTTGTCAGCACCGAGATTCACTTGAAATTTGTTGCACTGGAGGAGCATCTCGAATGTCTGCATACATTGCAGGTAGTTTTGGAGGACTAAGATTCTTCATGGGAGGCAGTGGTACTCCTGTCAGTCTTGCAACTTCTTCTTCCAACTGACGATTACGGCCAAACATAGCAACATAGTTATGATGCAGCTGTTTTTGGTAGCGTATAACTCGTTCTTTCTCCTCGGTCCATCTTAAACGTTCTTCTTCGAACTGTTGTCTTTGCAGTTCACTTTCCCTCTTCATAGTTTCAACTTCAGCTTTTAATTTGTCCATCTGAAGGCTAAGATCTTGATCATGTGCCCTGGCTTGAGATTGCTGCTGCTGAGCCTGATCTAGTTGTAAGCGAAGGTCACCCGATTCTCGTCGTTGTTGTCCCATTAGATCATGCAATGAATTGATTTCTGCACGACGTCTTTCAACCTCTGTCTGGTACTGACGAACCTGGGCTCGCAAGTGCAACAGCTCATGTCCTCGCGTCGTCTGGTCGCCTTGAGAGTCTTTGAGCTGAGTCTTGAGCAGAGATATTTCACCTGTAAAGGTAAGAACTTTATTAGTGAAATTCATGTACAGGTACAGTAATTGAAAGGAGATTTATACAAATAAAAATCAATTCAATTTAAAGATGGCTTATAAATAATAACATATCTACCAGTAAACATTAATACGATGTACTGTCTCAGGTAGTTGAAAGAAGGTGGTAATGGGGACAAAAAGTATAATACAGTACAGTAATATTAAGAGGGAAACTTATAATAAACTTAGTGTTTCCGCTATTCTAATAAAACGGCATTCTCTTCAGAGTGAGGCATACAGAATAAGCAGGTAGGGCTATGTTAAGGACTTTCTGGGCCCTGGAATGAGCCAAAATTTAAAAAAAATAAAATATTCCTCCCCTTTTTTTAGGCTGGCAAGCATATGAACTGCATCTGACCTGAATACAAAGACCCACCCAGTATTCACCCTGAAACCTTTGGGTTTCTAAACTTTTTCTGGTGCCATATTGCAAGGATTTAAACAGAAAATTTTATACACTATTATAATTTCCACTGCAAATCTTGTATATTCTGCATTACAGTACTGTACTGGACTGTATATCAATGCCTCTCAAGTCAGTGGGATGCAAAAGACTGCCTGCTCAGTCCTGCTACTACACCCCAAGTGTTCATCAGACCAGGGTTACCAATCACCTGCACTTGGATTTCGATATATTTTTTATTGACAACTTTGTAAAAAAAATCAATGAGGTTTCGTGTAGCCAAATTTTTGCCTAAGCCTTGTTGTTTGAATTTTTCTTTTTACATGGTAATAATTTTAATTCTTAAGGTTTAAGCTATTCTTTATACAGTATGCAGTTGCAACTTTTTGGGATCACTTCAGATTTACATCGAAATTAAAAAAAAAAAATTGGTGGTGGTCACAAGACTCTTGAAAAGGAATCATTTGGAATGGTCTGGATTATCCAATGGATTTGTTGAACAATTGATTCAGAGATTATGGGTGCACTTGGGCAGTCATATATCTCGGATAATACCCTTGTTGCTACAACAAAATTTTACATTTCAAAAGAGGCTATTTATACCAAAAACAGCCACCTTAAGGTAGGACCCAGGGCCCAACTTGTTTATTGGTTAATGGTTAATACAGGTCTGGATGCAAGTGAGAATCATTTTAATGGGCGTTGAATTAACAAATAACAAATAAGAAGAGAACAATAATAAGTAGAAATCACTTTTTCCTAGGTTTTGTGAAAATATAAAGTACAGTATTAGCATTACAGTTCTTGACATGCTTAACACTAAATATATTTAAAAGTTTTATCCCAAAAATTTTATTTGTTGAAGAAACAGTTTAATGACTAACCTTGCAACACACTTAAAGACCTCAGTTGTTGAAGTGCAGTAATAACATTATACTGTAACAACAACAATTAGACACTGTACCTGATTTCTGGCAAAGGCTCCACTCTGTTTCTTCAAGCTGAGTACGGAGGGAGCTTAACTCTCGCCTTAGCTGTTCTGTCTGACTCTGGTGGCCATCTCGCTCACGACGTACTTCCTCCAGTTCTGCCATCAATTTTCGGCGTTCCTGCTGCAGCTATTATAAGAGGTAATGATTATAAGAAACTATGACTTATGTCTCTACCTCTAAACTGTGTAAAAAGTTAGCATGAATATAATTTTGGAATTGGAGTCTACTTATTTACTCGAGTCACTTGAATATGCACATGCTAAGGTGAGATATTTATTATATTTCCTGTCAGCAATAGACAGAGTCATGTTTCAGCTACACATAGTAGATGGTTTGCCTACTATACATGATGTCACAATCAAGATACTGCACTGTATTTACAGTACTTAAGAAAAATACGAACAATTAAAAGTTTTAATTTTCATCACTACAAATCATATGTGAATCATTAATCATATCATTTTGTTAATCTGACATATCATGCTGAACAAAATATATTGCAAAAGAAACTTGCAATTAAATATACATTTGGAATAAACTTTATTTATAATTTGAGATGTTTGATGATATAAAAAAAACCATTTTGATTAATAAGAACTGTACGTATATGAAATCCATGCGCATCACAAATGATAATTTCAACATTATGTTTACTTTTATAAAGGTTTATTGGGTTACTAAGTTACTAACCTTCCCCAAACCTCTGGCAGGTTGCAATTTTTATAGGTACAGTACTGTACAACTGAGCTCAACATTTTTTTTCATGTTTCAATTGGTCAAGGATATGGCATCATTATCATTCAATCAGCGGATTTACAAAGGGGCCATTGGGGCCATGGCCCCGGGCCACAAAGATACAAGGGGCCATTCAAAAATATTTCATGTACAGGTATTATAAAAATTTAATATTTCACCATAATTTTGTGTACAAAAGATAGTGACCCCTGTGACCCCTCTAACCTCAACCTTATACAGGTGCATGTACAGTATTTTGATATCTGTATCATGAAAAATGCCAGTTATACAAATACTGTACTGAAATGTAAACAAATGCTGAATTGTCTTACTCCAACAGTTCAATGAAGAGTGTCAGTATTGGCAAAAAGTCCTAAAATGTATAATCAGCACTTTATAATTCTTGGCTGTGCATGGTCTTACTCTGAGAAGAACAAATGAGCATATTGGCTCAGTTAATAATGAAAGCTTCCTTGGGCTGATTTAACTGCTGGCTCAGTATGACCCATTTTTTGAAGAACATTTGAAAACACACTCTGACTAAGGTTCTGGGAGACCTTCATATTTATCAAAAACCATCTATGAAGACCTGATAGATATTATTGGTGACATGATGCTCTCGTGGATAATGCAAGAGATTAATGATGCAAGATATTTTTCATTTTCAGTGGACTCTACACCTGATATCACCCATATAGATCAGCTGACCCTCATTGTTAGGTATGTGAATAGTAAGGAACCTGTTGAGATATTCATAGAGTATATCCCTCTTCACTCACATCCAGGAGAAAGCAAGGCTGAACTTATTCTTGAATTTTTTGCCTCTCAAGGCATTAACATCGGAAATTGTAGTGGTCAGTCATACGCTAATGCAGCCAATATGAGAGGGAAGTACCAGGGTTTACAGGCATTGATCAAAAGAGAATGCAAGTACTGTATGCTGATTGTGTCCCCTGTGGTGCACATTCCCCCATGCTGGTTGGAGAGGTGGAAGGTTTCCTGTTGTATTGAAGCTGTTAATCTCTTCTCCTTTGTAAATAAAGTCTACACTTTCTTTTCTGCATCCACAAGCACTCAGATACATGCTGGTCAGCCAGACATGATGCAGTCAATGCAGTCCTGAAAGGCTACACTGCTATCAAATCATGTCTGTCAACAATAGAAAAAGACAGATCTCAGAAAGTTGACACAACGGCCATAGTTGGCAGTCTTGAGAAAACGATGGACACGTTAGAATTTACCCTAATTTTGTGTTTCTGGAGAACTGTTCTGTAAGGGTCAAGCAACTAACATCAGTTTGCAAAAAGAGTGTATAATTCTAAGCATCACAATGAAGCTCTACAAATCTCTCAAGCATTTTGTTCAAGAGGAGAGATTCAAGTTTGACAAGATGAAGCAAGAGGAAAGACATTGTGTAGTAAGGAAAGAATACAATATACAGGATTGAAAAGCTGAAGCGACAGATTTGCAGATGGAACATCAGAAAGTAATCCCAGATCATTGAGGGAGAAATTCAGGCAACATTTTTTCCTCATTGTGGACAACCTTGTCAGTGCTTTTCAAAGGAGGTCACAGGCTTATGAAGAGCTGTACAACAAGTTTTTTTTCTCAGATTTAGCTAATCTGTCAAGTGCTGATATTAGCAAAGCAGCAACCAATTTGGTGGAAGCTTATCCTAGAGACGGTGAAGAGTCATTCAGTGATGAGCTGGTTCAGCTGTCTGGACTCTTTTGAGATCCAGATACTGTATTTGCCTTCATGAATCTGACAAAGATCATAACTGTCATGGGTTGCGTTAGGCTTACCCACGCAACCAACTACAACGTTTGTTATACTAGAGCCATGAATACGATATCATCATTCCATTAGTGGTATGTTAGCAAGTCTATAGGGGGAGGTGATTGAGACAGTGTTGTACTGTTCATCGTCTCACGCCCAAAACCACATTTTTAGTAGTATCCCCTAGGCCATGGGTTAGTTAAGACGTTGTCCCCACCCTCTCCCTCCTGAAGGGAACGGGACACCACACAGAGCCCTCCACCGCCACCCATTCCTGTGGACAGTCAGCGACACGAGACTAAGTGTGCTAAGCAAGGATTGTTATCCCAGTGGAAAGATCATGTGTGGATGCCTGGTTGCGGCAAAGGCAATCCATGCTGGCCTATTGAACCTAAGTGGTTAATCAAGCCACGCTTACCAGTTCTCCTTGCCACGACAACCGTCTACAATCACTGTCAGTGACGCAAGACTATGTGTGGTAACCCAAGTTTTTATTGATATTCCCCGTGGAAAGATCATGTGGAGAAGCCTGGTTGAAACAAGAACAATGCAGTCTGGCAGTAAATGTATCACTTGAAGAATTAAGGCTCTCTTATGTCAAACCTATGGTAGAGTAATCACACGTGTCCCCCCCAAGTTGAAAATTCCCTCATTAGAAGATAAATTTTATTACGGCATGAATGCGAGTGACTCATTTATCCATGCAAATTGTAAATCATTGTATGGAAGCTTGACAAATAAATGTAAGTGCAATTAGCGGCCCATATCTGTGACCTATCTTATTATTACTAAAGGTAATGAATGATTGGTTGTGACAAAGTATAACCAATAACTTAGATTGATGTTGGAAATTAATGGAACCCATTAAATCATCATTTATCAAGAATATATCATGGGATGTCGGGTGGTGGAGTGAATTTATGCTTAGATACACCGTAAAATCCTGTAAGTAACCAGTGTGAATGTATTGAACTCTATGGTAAGAAATATAAGAAACACAAATATAATATAATATAATATAATATATATATATATATATATATATATATATATATATATATATATATATATATATATATATATATATATATATATATATATATATATATATATATATATATATATATGCTGATAACCACAAGGAAAGAAGAAAACACGAAGTTCCCAAGCACTTTCATGTAATTCACACCTAGACCTACCTATTATTATTATAAAAAATCTATGACAATAACCAAGAGCTGTTCATGTTCACTTTCCTCCAACCTATGGTAGATACCTTCGTAAATGTGAACATTCTATTCAAAATACATCTTTGCATGCTGTGCTCAAATTATGCAGGTGAAAGGTCATTCTCAAAACTGAAATGAATAAAAAATGACCTGAGAAACTCTGCCAAGACAGACTGAACAAGTTGAGTCTATTGTCGATTGAACATGAGCTGTTGAACTCCTTGGGCACTGAAAGTATTATCAGAAAATTTAGCATAGCCAAAGTAGATTTTATTTGTATAAAACTGATAAAGTTATGCCTCTTGTAAATCTGTAGTTTCGTTTTCTTTTAGTTACCCTAACTTAAAAGAAAATGATTAAAACAGTATGTGCACGTTACAACCAGGATAACTAATGTATTTATAATATTACGGGTTAAAATATCTACAGCTTCATTTTGTTTTATTCGAGAATCCTAAATGATTACTATAATTTAGGATGTACAATAAACAGGAATCTAAGAATGAGTAGGAATTAAGTCTGATCATTTATATTCAGTGCAATGATATGATCAGATTTTATTCCTACTGATTTTTAGGTTCCTGCTTACTGCACGTCCTAAAACTTAAGAGTTCTCGAAAAAAAAAACCTTATGTTGTCTAGTCTTTGAGTCCTCACTTGTTAGTCGCCACTAAAGAGGATGCTAGTGGGCATAGAAGATACAGTAATGTCTAAAAACGCGAGTGCAAAATGATGATAAAAATATTATTTTATAAATTCAATCATACACAGTACTGTACACAGATTATGAAGAAAAGGGAAATGGAACCAATTGAAATGATTATCACAAGTGTAACACAAATGAAGATTTGCCGCGAGTTCCATCCCTGGCATCAACGTATAAAAGGGAATTCGAGAGTACATGTGTGAAAGAAGAAATTTAACTATTTGTGCATAAGAGGACACGTAGCATTGTGAAATAATTTATAAGGGTTAAAGGGTGACAGCTGTGGGCCCATATATTCAAATAACAGGAACAAAGTTACCCAACACCAAACAGGAGAAAAATATCAATTACATCATAAAGTAGGTTAAAGCTTTTGATAACGTCATCAGATGGGGCAAGCGTTAAGGGGCGAGTAATTAGTGAACAGCAGGTGAGGAACGCCGAGGCTGTCTCCACCAACCTATTGTGTTACTGACCCACACTAGTGTAAGATGTAATATTTACATGACATCATATTTTTGTCGCTATCCCACTTACGTGCAAGTGAACATAAAGTTATAAAGAGGTAGCATTTTCACCTGTAGTTACTACTAGTGCCGTCCAGAGGTACATTTTACCAAATGTAACTGGCTCACTTTAGCAACCAGAAAAAACTGTATAGTCAAAATGGCGTCGGTGCTGCACTCGAACTGTACCCCCAAAACAGCTAAAAATTCACGTCCGGATCTTTGAGAGACAGGACAATGGTTTGTACAAAGTGAGGAAATTATCAAGTATGAGGCCCAGGTGACAGCCCACATAAACAAGGTGACTACACATCACGGGGTAGAGGCATTATGGTTCACATGACCTCATAGTGCAGTGGTCATTTTCCAAAACGTCCTAATTTAAAGAGGTATTCCTCTCGTTAATAGAACAAAACCTAACTATGCTTTTTGATGAATATTAATATATTAGAATCACTGAAAACAATAAGATTAGGACGAGACTATTTCTCCCCTACACGAGGGGACCAACCTGACACACTCCCACCTTGTATGTAAACTCATACGGCCATAGTTACCCCGGCATTTCAAAATTCATGATGGAATTCCTTTGTCAATAATTCGAAAGAAGAATGTACGTAATTCTGAAAGCACCGCACAAATAGTGTAATCCTATAAATAATGAAGTTTACAACATACACCCCTCAGCTACACTGCACTAGTAAAGAAAAGGCTGCATGCCCTCTCCTACCTGCCCAGATTTGTCCTTGGCTAACAATAAAGATAAACAAGAAAAGTCGACCTACCTGGTATGTCTGTGTGGTGAGTGACTGTTCCACCTTCAGAGCCTTCTGTTGGGCCCCCTTGAGTCGGGAATCATACAGATCCCGAATCTTCTTTAGCTCCCGCTCCCACGTCTTCTCCTTCTCCTCGTACACCTGAAACATCCCCAAGTCATCGTTAGTATTGGCAGTGAATAATCTTACAGAATAATTCATTGTCAGTAAATTCAGTTATAAAAATATTTGTCCTATAATATGCCGCCAAACGTAAAATAAACCCTTTCCTCTTGAATACGATGATACATTTAATATTTTATTGTCGTGACAAGTCTTAAACTCCCCTGAGACACTATCCTAGGCCCCTCCCTTCCTTAATCTTATGTCCTACCTTGAATATCACCTGCTCGTTCTGCTCCATGGTCTCCCTCAGAGTGTTGATCTCAGAGTCCTTCTCCTTCAGCATCGCCTCTAACTCTGCTACGCCCGAGTCCGACGGTGATGGAGTCTGATGGTGCTCGTCCAGCGTCAGCTCGCTGATAGATCCAGCCACTGAGCCACAAATGGTCCGATCCAAACCCAAGTTCGATCCTGTAACTGACATTGATCTATCCAGACCTAGATTCGACCCACTGACCGAGCCGGATCTGTCTAGGTTGGATCCGGTGACTGAAGCAGATCTGTCCAAGCCGACGTTTGAACCCGACCGGTCGAGTCCCTGGACTGATCCTGAGTGGTGAGCGCTGCTAATCCGAGTGAGGTTTGTGACGGAGCCGCCCATCCGCTGGTGTAAACCATTGGTAATTGGCTGAATGTGGTGGTGGTGGTGATGATGGTGGCCATAGGAGTGACCTGAATCACCCGACAGATTTTTCAAGCTGTCGTAACGAGGAAGGTCACTATTTGAGTACCCGTTGACACGCGTGTACATAGCCGCGTTGTCGTACGTGCTGGACAGTCTGTTGTCGTACGAATTGTCGCAATTGCTCGCCAGTCTGTTGTCGTGTGCGAACCTGTGGTGAGTGTGGCCGTCCTCTATGTTGCTACACGTGGACTGGTGTGAGGGAGGCCGGGGCGGAGGTGGGGGGTATGCTGGGGGGCTCTTGTTGTTGTTACTGATGCTACTGTTGTTGTTATTGTGGTGATTGTTACTGTTGTAGCTGTTCTTGTTGTTCATGGATGTGTTCTTGTTGTTATGAAGCTTGGTGAGACTGTTGTATTTATTGTTGTTGTCGTTGGAGTGATGATCATAGTAGCCTCTGGAGGAGAGAGGAGTGACCAGGCCACGACGGTCCAGAGAGTAACTATTGTGACTCATCGTCTTGAGGTCACCCATACCTGCACCAAAGAGAACACCTATTAGAACTAAGTTAACCAGAATCATCTACGTGAAGCATTAAGTACTATCACCAACCAAACAGGTCCACCCTTGAAAGTTATGAATATTAACATGTATCGCTTATTCAAATTTAAAATGTCAACATATATCAAGATATAACCATATACTATACACAGTGATTAATCGTGTTTTACTGTATATTTATGTTAGTAGTCTATATTAAAAAGGTGATTAAAAAAATTCGACTTTGTAATTGTGAGAGAAATTAAAAGTGGCAATGAATGACTAAAAGTTAATGGTGAAGCAATATAATTTTACTCTATGCGGATGATTCAACTCTTAACACAGATAATGAAGAGGCATTACAAAAATTCGTTAACAGATTTGTGTAAAAATTTAAAAAATGGTTGGTCCATATTGGAAATAAACCTTAAGATAAAAATTATGGCAGGTATCAAAGAAGTTAAACAAATGGAAAATGTTGTGTATTTGGCAAGTAACATTTGTTGTGATGGTAGATGTACGGAAGAAATCAAAACGAGAATAGAGCAAGCAAAAAAATCATTTAATGACCTAAATGACCTAATGAAAAGGGACAAACTTCAATTTGAGAAAAAACTGCTGAAAAGCTTGGACTGATGTATGGGTCAGAAGCATGCATACTTTCACCAGACACCAGAAAGAGGTTGGAGGCCTTTGAAATGTGGTGTTATAGGTTAATGTCAAAAATAAACTACACAGACAGGAAAACAAATGAAGTACAGGACTAAGATAATCAAAAAATTCAAGAGAAATATTTGAAATGTACAGAATAAGATAAATGAGATACTTAGAAAATATAATTACGGATAAGGGAATAATAATATAAATATTAATGGGCAAAATTAAGGGTTGGGGGGCTGGGGGAAGGCAGAGATAGACGAATGAAATTAAAAACTGGATCCCCAGAGATACAAAACCTTGCAGGATTGGTAAAAACAGCCTTAGAACGTTTAGAGTGGAGGATTGTGGTCGCCAACCCTTAGGTAATTATGAGGACAGTACTTTGATTGATTGATTGAGTCAAGGCACAGGTGGTGATGGTGAGGAAGGTGGCTCTGTAGAGACTCAACATTCGTCTTGGTACAACAAACGTCAATGACTTGCACAAAATATATAAGGAAACTGATAAAACATATCAGATAAATAATGACAACAACAAATGTTAAATATAAGACGTAGCAATTCACTAAAAAAAGGATAGAAAAAAGTTCATTTGGACCGGTTGAGAAGCAGAGACGTCATTAGAAAAATATTAAGACTGTAGATACGACATTGGCAACGTGCCAACAATACCAACGCCTCGCAGCACTGAATAAAAAGAAGGGACCAAGAGGGAGTAGCTGAGAAGGAGGAGGGAGGGGGGGGGGGACGGCACCATGGGCCACTGGGACGTAAACAAGAGACAAGAACCAGAATCGAACGCTGACGTGGTCGCAGTCCAACCCTGACATGACAACACCGGAGTGGTCAGGAGTGTTCTGTAGCCACACACCTACATAAGAAGATACTACGTAGCTATCCTGTACAGTGTCAGCAGTGCAGCTGACTGGAGACTACTGGTGAAAACTTCACGTAGAAAAACACAAGAGCAAAAAGTAGGTACTTCTGAATATTACATTCAATAAAAATAAACGAAGTTACATTTTTATGATGAGAGCACCTTCCTCCCAGCCTGGAATCTAAGAGGGAAGAAGACAGTTTTTTCGGCAAACATGCGAGTGGAAAGCAAAGATTAGCTAAGAAAAAGTCATATTCATGAAGGGGCTGAAAATATTATTTGTAAATCATATATAAGAGTCGACCTTTGTTTGTCTTTGTACTTTACTACACCAGAAATAAATGTCGTATATGGCCCTGCGAACATTACTATGCGGAAAAAAGGGGTCGAGTATGGTGTGTTCAGCTGGACTATAAAGAAGCAGTACATGTTCTAACTCTTACCGAAGGAGGTCATTTATGCTATAGAAACACTACTTTGTAACATATAACTCTCAAACACTGTTACATTCTTATTAACTGAAGTAACATTGAGACGTGGACACACATTCTTGCTATGAAATGTGTTTGAGTGGTGATGACTCGTGACACGCAAGGGAGGAAGGCTTTTAACCCTGCCGTACAGCGAGTGTATAACCGAGGAACATGAGGGGAAAGTCATGTAGGGGGAAGGGCCTAACACACCCGCTGAGGGAAACACGACCCGCCCACCAACTCTCTAATGACCCATCGAGGGCAGGCCAGCAGTGAGAGAGAGAGAGAGAGAGAGAGAGAGAGAGTTGTGCGAGGTTTGAGGTAGGAATTCTCTTCAAAATGCCACAATTAATTAGCGCGACATAACTTTAACAAAACGGTTTACAGCAAAAACTTGAGACCATAATATATTTTCCGCTTTCCGTTACCGAGTCTGGAGATGTTTTACAAGACGGTTCGGAAAAAAATAGCTTCAAGTTTCATGGTATATATGTCTTCTCTGTAATACTTATCAAGAAACTCAGAGCTTCAAATCACAAACAATGATATTTTCTGGAAGTGGATGTGAAGGGCGGAGAAGTTATAGCGGTGGAATGGCAGTGGCACACCAGAGAGGTTCAGCCCCCCCTCCCTCAACACTAATACTATTCCCGCCACTGGCCCTGAAACACCCCCGGGCAGTTTTCTCGTTTTCATTATCGTTTCTCTCAGAATTAATGGCTACACACTCCTCTTCCCCCTCGCCTCTTTTATCAGTGTGCTTTGATTTGTGTGTGACGTAGCCTTGAGGGGACACAAGATAATACCACTAACAATAATAAAATTACAAACTTTTCAGAAACAGTTACTATTATCATGAAATCCAGCTGACTTTTTGGATGGAAATAACTTTTTACATCCTGAGGAAACGCACTTACCATCCGGTATAATTAATCCGAACAGATAATATTCTACGAAGTGGTTAACGTTGCGGTATCGTGAACCTCTTGCGATATTGTAGAATTATCAATAACAAATAACAATTTATCTAGCTTCAGCTAATATACGATGATATAAACGCTGGAAACAAGAGAAACACTCACACTAAGAGGACTACCAACAGTAACAGACCCGCAAGTGAAAGGTGAGAATAATCTCTCTAGGAACACCTCAACTGTGCCGGGATCATCATGTGGCAACCTGGAGGATATACTGTCAGAAACTATCAGTGACCATGGTACTCACTGCCATAGTGGTGTATTCCGCCCCTGGCCAGTGTGGGCGTGGAGGTGTAGCGTGGGTCTGGGCGGGACTGGGGCGTGGTGGCGGCCGTGCTCACCTGCACCATGTAGCTCCCCGGTGACCCCCCGAGGCTGCTACCCTGGGGGGACACGCCCCCCTGTACCCCTCCTGACGCCACTGGTTTGAAGGCGATAGGCCGGATCACTACCTTGCCCTGGGGGAGAACAACAACAATTATTAGTCAATGTACAATAACTACCTGCAGTTTACCTCCATACAGTGCTGAGGTTTCATTCTTCCTGTACACAATGTTGCACTCAATACTGCACGACTCAATACTGTTATCAATGGTAAGAAGACATCCTCGGTGGTGATGGAGCAACAGAGAGCTGGTACACCTCTCTTCTCTTTTCTGGGTGAAATACTCAACAATAACTGAGCCAAGACTCCACCTGCTTGTTACACAGTGCTCACGCTGCCCACACCATCCCTCGCCCACCACACATTATAATCTGCCGGTACGTCACCACACATCACCCACACCATCCACCGCACATCACCCACACCATTCACCACACATCACCCACACCATCCACCGCACATCACCCACACCATCCACCGCACATCACCCACACCATTCACCACACATCACCCACACCATCCACCGCACATCACCCACACCATCCACCACACATCACCTACATCATTCCGCACTACCTAATGCTCATCACAATGTTCCAGCTTACACATCAACCACACCACCAACACCCACTTACCATACTGCTCCCCCCCCTCCCATTATCACATCGAGTTCCCAAAGCACACACACACTAGCGCATGCATGCACGCGCACACTCACGCACAACGCTAACTACATACACACATATACACACAATGCTAACCACACACACACTCACACACATACAACGCTACCTACACACACACACACCACAGTACCATACACCACACCACCACTCAACGCCCACCTCATACTACTGCACCACACCATTATACCACCACACAAGGCCACGTTTAGAAGCATCACATGTGAAACTCCACAGTAGATGGCCAAATACTTCAGCCAGGTGCCGGTCGACTCAACACAGTTTTTCTGGAAACTCAACTTCCTCCCGTCCGTCCGTCCGCTGTGTACCAAGATGGAACCTCCACTTCCAACTCCTCCAGAGTCGTGTCCTCTAGTTTACTTCTAGTTTACCCCAAATTTATAGAGTTAACTTGAGTTCACCCACAAGTACGCATTCGCACAGACGTACACACGCACGTGCACGCATACCCCCCCACCCTCCCACCCACACACTAGGCGCCGCATCAACAGGTTGTACACTGGAGTCACCGAGTTGTGTTTACATCTGGGTGCCGCCAGAGTGGGTGGTAGGGTCAAGTCTTGGGAGCCGGAAAGCAATGCCACTATTAGGACGATAAGGCGAGAGAGAGAATCACATGCACTATCGCGTGTTTATGCTCACCAATCTACTAATAATTTAAATTCAGTGCTATTAACAACTAGATAATGCATGTGTTGATAACGTTATGACCAAGCGTGAGAACCTATGAATGGGTGTGTGAGGGTGAGGGGTGAGGTGTGAGGTGTGAGGGTGGGCATGTGCGGCGTCAGCGTGAGATCCCAGCGTCTGAAAGTGGACGTAGTATTGCAGGCATTTACGCCCTTAATGCATGGGTCACGAAGGCAAGCATGAATTCCGCATGCTTCCCTGTTGGAAGCTGTAAATGCTTTTGCGCTTCGCCTTGCACAGAATGCAAGGGGGTGCCCAATTAACTAGCCTACACGCAGGGCAAATTATAAAAAATTATGGAGTGAATATATATGAATGTGTTTGTGTGTGTGTGTACATAGACTCCAGCCTACGCGCAACTATGAAGAGCTCCTCCAGGTTTTACCTTGACACAAAAACCTGTTCCACGGTACACTGTTTACGTCTCCTGCACGAGGGTCAAGTTCTTAGTACTAAAAGGTTCTCAAGTGCAGTTTATATTCTTTGTGTCTAGATTCTATTAATTAACCCCTTATCCACGGTGACTTAACCCCTTGAGTATACTGCCAAGGGGATAGGTAGTCGTATTCAGAGTTGCGACAGCGTATGTACGGGATTAGGTTAATGTATTTTAATTATCGTATTTATAGGGCTCAGGCAATGTAACTCGGGGGGTTGATATCCTACTAAAAGGGACAGATAGACAAAGAGACAAAGAGACAAATATATAGAAAGATATATAGATAGACGGACGGACAAAGAGGATTCATTCTAAATTTCTTTTTCACATCGACAGCGGAACGTAAGAAGCCTCGGGCAGGTCTTCAAGATGGCAACAAAAACCTGGGAGGAATCACCTAACGGCCAGACCCTGAAGCTTGTGCCAGGAGCATTACACCTCAACCCACCCACGACAGCAGCGCCAATAACACATGCTGTGCCATCAACAGGAGCGCAAACAACAGCAGTTCCACCAATGACTTGAACAGCAGCAAGAAGATTTACCACCAACACATCTAACACCAGCGACCACAGCATCAATAGTGACAGCATCCGGCACTACTATTAACAGCAGCAGCACTAATATTAAAACAAAATAGCATCAGGACAAAACAACAACGCCCCAAAGAGATACAAAAGACCTAGTAGGGCAACCCCCCCCCCTCATATACCGAACAAAGATTTTTTTTTTCACACAATACTGAAACACAAGACCTGAATATATATAGACCAGCCAGACCAACGTCGAGTGGAATGGTACATCATTAATTAAATTTAATTACTCTTTCTTTTTCATCTCTCCTACATTCGTTATCGCTTCTGCAATTATTGTTATTATCGCTTCTCTCTCTCGCTCGCTGTCTCCACACACACACACACACACACATTTGGTGTGTGTGTGTGTGTGGTGGCCTCCCAATGAGCACAGAGGAGTGGGTGGGCAGCAGGTGTGGGTAGATGTCACCCCGTGTTCTGTGTCACAGCTCCCTTGTGCGTGCACGCACGCACGCACGCTCTCCCTCCCTCCCTCTCTCCAACACCACCTCCCTTCTTTACTCCTTCTCTCCCTCAACACCTTCTCTCTCATCCCTGTAACCTTCTCCCTCCATCTCCACCAACACTCCCTCCTACCGTCACATCCTCTCCCCCAACACCTCCCTCACCCACGGCCTAGTACCCTGGGGCAGGTTCCCACACTCTCACCAGTAACATATTTCTTAACTATCGTAACGTGTCCGGCTTAGTGTTACTGTGACCTTCGTTATTATAAGTTGTTACGTGACTACACACTGGATCTGTAACCCGGTGACCTTCTCAACCTAGACGATGCATGAATTTATGATGTATGTATGTATGTATGTATGTAACTAGGGTAATTTTAAGTATCAATAACAATGGCTGGATCACGTGACCAGGATGATGTACTAAAACCTGGGTAAGAACCAGGCAGGAAACCTCGTACCTGATCACTGGTACCTGGTGGGTAGTAAGGTACCTGGTTGAGTGGTGACAGAAAGGTGCTACTTCACTAAACCCTCGACCCTCTACCCATCATCGTCTCCTCTACACAGCCATGACACACAGCTGGTGACTCCCTGACTACCTCCCTCCTCGTCAGTAGGCACGACCCTCAGGCTCCTCTTTACCTGTAGGTGTACTGACTTAACACACATTGTATATATCATTAGTTAAATATATCACGGTCTGGTGAAGTAGAGCGGATGTCCCGAGGTCTGTGTTAATATACCAAGATCTCGCTGTACTGCCTCATGACCTACTAGCCAGGGACTACAGACATGACACTTCCGCCCACCCCCACCTGATGAGTATGGCTACACTCCACCCCTTACCTCACTGTGCCTTGTATAATTTCCCTTCAATATTTTTTATCTTCTTTTATATAATAGTTCTACGACTAACTCACTTAATTAGAACAGGTTTAGAATAATATTAACTCTCTCTCTCTCTCTCTCTCTCTCTCTCAGATAATTATCAGCAGGAGACTCATAACATAACATGCGTGACCCACATAAATGGAGCCGATATTAACGAGTTGATGGTCACGTTAGCTCCTGTCACGTTATCACTGTTCCGACCTCCTGCTGCTGCTGCTCTCTGCCTGTCAGCCCACTTCTGTGGCTCTATACTTACCGTCACCCTTCCCTCTGTCTCAACCCTTCTTAGATCACGAAAAGCCCCCTAACGAGTGTGTCCCAGTCGTTACTTACTGGGGACGGCGACCCCGACATCATCCTTATAGGGTGTACAGCCCCTGAGGGAGGCAGGTGTGGTACATTAGGGCTGATGATATACTCACACACCCCCGTACACATACACGCAACCCACCCCGCTCTCCAAACACATCTAAACGGTACACACATCCAGATACAAACGCGGTAAACCTGACTACTAGTCGACGTACTCACGAGAAGTACTTATATCAAAAGAATAAAATGAACCCCAATTGACCTCCGGTGAATCTGAATAACCCCTAATGATATACCTGGTGACCTTGTACTGGGGTGTTTCGTAAGGAGAATCATCCGAGTTACAAAAGCAATAATAATGTCAAGAGTCGGCAGCTCCTCCTCTCTGGGTGGCGCCATGTGTACTCGGAAAGAAATCCTTAAGTTGCAACACTTTCTGGCTAGTGGTGGTTACAGGACCCCGATGAATATTTTTTCTTTACATACAGAGATACAGACAAGAGTAAATAAACCGACTTAACATAAATATATGTAAAATATCATGAATTAGATAAACTGTAGAGGCATTGGTAGATAGAGACAAGTATATGAATTCCTATTTATATAACTGCATTTACCTCTATGTGTAAATTGTGTATGTAGAGGTGTAGCCAAAAGTTCCTCAAGGCTTTACAGTATGTGGCATCTCCTTATATGCGATTGTATGATAAAAAGTGAACGTTGCATTTTAATAGAAATTATATCACAATAACAGCATGAAAAAAACACTATATTATAAGGAAAAATAAGGCGAAATATATAGTAAGAATCCCAACTCCTCCCTACCACCAACACACACGACCCTCTAGTCTAGGTTAGGTTGGGTTAGGTTAAAATTGTCCGCAACTGTATATTGATTATTTATAGAGAACAACAATTTCTCCACACCGTCAAAGTCTCTACAGAACCATGGCGCCCACACTCCCATCTTGTGAACTTTTGGCTGACTTCAG